ATCCGGCAAATTTAAAGGAACCGAGTTCAAGTAGTCCGTAGGCCGTGGTCTCAGCTGTCTCAGCGCTCATATTCAAAATGCATCAGAGATTTCTTACGTTTTCATGAGTTTTTAAAGTTGTTTGATGATTTCCAACTCCTCAGGTTGTTTTACTAACAGTTTGTGAGGTAGTTGACAGGAACAAGGGCAAAGAAATGCGTATGCAGGAAGCTTTCAAGAGCCTTACATTGTTGCTATCTCTATGACCACAGTCAGATTCACTCTTGGGGATCTCCTTAGCTGTATTTTGTTCAGTTTGTCCATGGGATTCCTTTGAAGAAGATTTCGTCGAATACTTATTCCCGAATAACAGGTTTTACTATGTCATAGATCTCATAACGGAACACAAAACCTATCAGGTTCATTTTTCTCGCGATACCATTTGTTTTTTTCATACCACTCAGTGGAAATCGATATCTCGATTCTGACAGCATTCCTGACGTCTCTGGTTATTTGAATTATAGATTCAAGATTTTTCTGTTCGTATTTTGTTTGGAGGTTCTACCTTTTCTTTGTCTTGGATATTATTTTTTGAAACACAGATGATCTGATCATGATAATAGATGATTTTTAATGTTCCAAGTTTCAGACCATCTCAGTTGGGTTCACAAGAAGTCATGTCTTCAGATTTATATGGAGAAAGTATATTATATAATGAAGTTCTCAAAAGGAATCCGAAGTCCGTCAAGGAGATCTTCAGTGCAACAAAAATAGCTGAGATCAAGAATTTTGTAAGTGTTTAGGAATTTTCTGTTCGCTTTCGTGTTGTTCATGAAAACGAATTGAGGTATAATTGCCGTTTCCAAAGTTTCCGAATTTTGTCTCCGAACTCTACTCCTGCAGGTGCCCACCTTTTATTAACAGACTCAATGACCCATTGCTCATGGGTTTGAGTAGCTTCTAATTCATGAAATAACCAAGCACAAAGGTTTTCAATTTTTAAAGGTGTAAAGCATACATTTTTGTTTTATATATGCTTTAGGAGAGCAAAGCTAACTGATAGGATGGAGATTCACTGTTTATTGATTTGTTTGTACACTTTCTTTTTTTTCAAGTAGAACAAACCGTCATGTTTCGAATTACTCTTTCAGAAACTTGATTAACATTTGTACTTGATTAGACCCAAAAAAGCTAGGTCCTGTTAACATAGTTTCTTCATTGTAATTTGCTATCAATGAGGTTGTGAGTTGTATTAGCGAAAATTAGTCTGGGAATATTGGGATATAAGCTCAAAGTTCAGGTAAAGTCCATCGCTCATTCTAGCCACATGGAGTCGTTAGTTTCGCATTAGTTTTCAGTTGTTGAAAGGTCGCATTCGCACCTTACTGGTCCTAACAAATGTCGGACTTTTGAATTTTATCTAGTGATGGTTGCTCAATTCGCTCTAACTACTATAAGGGATAGAACTTACCCATGAATTATTTCTACTCTGTCCTACTCTATAATCTCTGAGTTCCCCAATTTTGTTATGGGTTTACTGTTTGCTTGATCGTATCTGGCTTCTTCGAAATATCTCCGAAATTATTCGATTCGAAGGCTGCTCATGAAGCTTCGAAGTGAAACTGTTGGCATGCATGCGGTGACTCACTCAGAGCCCAGAAGGCTTGGGGACTCCCGTCAATAAGGCTAGAAGAATTTTGCGAATAACTTACTCATCATTACAGTAGTCCATCCTACAGGCCGTTTTCGGTCTGGTATGATAAGTATGATTCGCAATTTGTCAGAACTCTTTAGATTTGAATCTTCAACTTAACAATGTGCCGAAATATTTTGACACGGTACTCGGCTTAGGCACACTTGCGCACAATGAACCCTTTCCATTAATCTCATAGTTTGGTTAAGGCAGTTTTTTCCTAGTGCTGCATCTCTTAAGTCTTCAAAATGCAGCAACGCTGATTGGAACCATCTGACTATCCTGGCAGCTCAAATCACTACTTATGTCCCTAATTAGATTTGCTATATAAAGGTATAGCCATTTTTTCAGATTTCAAACACTGGTGATATACCGCCAATAAAAGTGTGCGCTGAAACCTACTTGACGACAAGGAAACGTGCTGCTCCATCAATTACTTCGCCGCCTGCAGCTAAAAAGAGAGCAGTTGACAATGACGACTCTTCTGAGGATTCTTCAGACGATGAGGACATGGGAAAGCCTAAGGTGTGTTCCTTTCAAATGTATTTAAAGTGTGTATGAAAGTGACATTGGAGAAGGCTTTTTTATATTTCACTTATGAGGAGCCTACTGCTCTACACAGGATATCGAAGACTAAACAATGCCAAATTTTGATTTTGGATCTTTTACATTGTATTTTGATTTTATTAAAATTGTTAGGAAGAAGGTAATAGAAATAGAATAGAAGGCAATGTAAGTTAACTTTCCTTAACCCTTTGACGATAATGCGGTGGGTGGCACTGTCCCAGGAGAAAATTCTTTCACTGGATCACTGAATTTAGCAATTGGTAAGAAACAAGAAAGTATGGTGGCACCCGAAATTGAGTGCCAATGTCCCATGCGCTAGTCATAGTGGCACCCACCGGTGGGTGCCATTGTCGTCAAAGAGTTAGTGCGTTGCTCCCTTCGCCAGCGTTGCCCTTACTCACTCCTTCACTGTTTCATGAAGGTTATTGAAGTCGCTTCAGTATTTGGATGCTTTGAAGTTGTTTCTTTTTTTTTTTTGTTCTATCATTAAGTGCAATTCATTGAACACATTGTATATGTGTTGTTAAGAATGTTTCATTTTAAGTCAGTTCAGTTTGGAAATTCGCGGTAGTGTTAGAGTCTTTTGATTCCTAGATTCATGTAATTACGTAAATTTAAGCTATGCTGTAGCACGGGGATTTTAAAGTCGACATTGGCCATGAGTGAGTGCCGCGCTTTCACATTTGACAAAAGGCGTACGGCGGTATGTGGCGACTTCGATAGATATCTCGCAAATCAATGGCTCGTGCTGGACAGTTCTAAGAGGGTTCTGCTTCGTTGTTGCTTTTCGTATTTCATTCAAACCCCGTTCCAGTCATGTTGATAAGATGGAAAATTGGATTTTAGACTACTAAAAAACTTTGGAAGTATGGGGAATTAAGAGAAATTAGGATGTTTCATGAAAGGAGCAGATTTGAAAGCTTAACTATCAGTGTCAGCGAGGAAGTTTTTCGCCTTATGCCTTTTGCCTTTCAATTTCTGCCGGCTCGTAGGAAGCATTAGGGAGGTCAGCAATATCAGCAAGACCATTTGACTATATTACATGCATTGTCTACAGAGTATTAGTGGCACCTTCAAAGCTGTGCAGTGGTCCATTCTCTGAATTTGAAATGTTAGCTCTGCGTTTGGTGCTTTTACAGGTTCCGAACGGAAAGCCTATGATGAACGGGCTGAAGCGTAAGGCCAAATCATCGGATTCTTCATCCTCATCTGATTCGGATTCTGATGATGCGGCAACAAAGAAAAAACCTGTGAAGGTATACCAATATTTTTTTAGTGATGTAGCTATGTTGTGAGGAGGATATGGTCTGTATTACGTTTGGGTTTTTTTTTACCGAAAATCTCTTCTCGTAAAATGTACAAGACATCGCTTAGTAACTATTATAACTTTCAAAATGGCGCTCAAAAAGGAAAATGTAGCAGGATTAGTTTGTAGGTTAGATACAAATTGATTCGAAAAACGGAGAACCTAAACTGAGCCATGGCTCAATGTCTCTAGAGAAAATTGTTTGGGCAAAATCACGCTCTGATCACTAGAAGCTGCCTTTGAGTTATGATTTTTCAGTCTCCTCTAATACGAAAGGCTCACAGATTTCACCATGCACATCATTGAAAAACAAATGTCTTGAACAATTCCCTAAATTTTAGCTAGAGTTTGAATTTGCAAAATTTTTTCTGAAATTTCTTCAGAAAAAAAATTTTTTTCTGAAAAAATCACAGCAGATGAGACCTCTTATGAGCCCATTGAAGGCTTCCTTTCTCGAAATCGGTGCCTTTGCGGGGAACCCCATCTGTTCTGAGCTTCTCAAGTTTTTCTTTTAAGCGAAATTTTCCAGAAAGCACCAGCTAAGTTAACTCCTAAACCTGTTATACCAGTGGCGAAAAAGGCAGCGGCATCATCTAGTAGCTCTGACTCCGAGGAGGAACCTCCAAAGAAGGTTTGAATTGCTTATACATACCTTTCCAGTTTCCACTACTGACTAATATTGTAGGTAGCACCAGCTAAGCCAGTCTTGAAAGCAAGCGCAGCAGCTAAGAAGGCAGCGGAATCATCGAGTAGCTCTGACTCCGAGGAAGAAGAAGCAGCAAAGGTTCGCTTTTCTGAGCCTTTCTGTTTTTTTTTTCTTCTAAACATTCTTACCTTTCTCGGTTGCTGTGAACATTTCTTATTTAACATCCTACAACATTGTTTTGCAGAAAACGCCAGCAAAGCCAGTTCTGAAAACAAGCGCACCGGCAGCGAAGAAGGCAGCAGAATCGTCCAGTAGTTCTGACTCTGATGATGAACCCGCAGCAAAGGTTTGCGTGTTCTATGCCTTGCTGTTTTTTCCTCCTTAATAGTCATACCTTTCTGAGTCGCTGTAAACCTTTTGAATTCCCCTCCCTCAACACTATTTTGCAGAAAACGCCAGCTAAGCCTGTTTTGAAAGCGAGCACACCGGCGGCCAAGAAGGCAGCGGCATCGTCGAGTAGCTCTGATTCTGATGATGAACCTGCAGTAAAGGTTTGCTGTACTCATATGTTTCTCTGATTTCTCCTTCTGAGCATTTTTTTTGTAGAAAACGCCAGCAAAGCCACTTCCGAAACCTGCCACTCCAGCAACGAAGAAGGCAGCAACATCATCGAGCAGCTCTGATTCCGATGATGAGCCTCCAACAAAGGTCCGTTGTGATTGATGCGTTTTTAAATTTATGTATCAGACAATCTTGCTTTTCAAATTAGGTGGAATCCCTGGTATAACCTCCTTGACAATGTTTTGCAGAAAGTGCCAACTAAACCAGCTTCGAAAACGAGCACACCGGCGGCTAAGAAGGCAACGGCATCATCGAGCAGTTCTGATTCTGATGACGAACCTGCAGCGAAGGTTCATTGCTGTTGACTTCTCTTATTTCCCTTCCTGAAGAATGTTTTGCAGAAAGCCCCGGCTAAGCCAGCTGTAAAAGCAAGCATACCGGCGGTCAAGAAGGCAGCAGAATCGTCGAGTAGTTCTGACTCTGATGATGAACCTGCAGCAAAGGTTTGCTCTGATTCGAACTTCTCCGCTTTCTTTTTCTGAGCAATGTCTTTGTAGACAGCACTGGCTAAGGCTGTCCCTAAACCTACTACGCCTGCAACGAAGAAGGCAGCTGAATCATCGAGCAGCTCTGATTCTGATGACGAACCTGCAGTAAAGGTTTGTTATGTTATCAACTTTTCTCTTTCTTTTATAATCTATATACACTACATATATACACTTTCTATGACCAAATCACTTGAATCATGTAATGATAAGTCCACTCCTACCTGTTATAGCTGGTATGCAATGCACTACCACACCTTTGTTAGAGAAAATAGAAGTGATACCACTAACTTGGCACTGTTTATACTTGCAAACAGCGCTAATAACTCAACTAGGAGAAAATGTCTACGAATAATCGTGTTGTCCTTTAATCGTAGTGGCAGTAATGGTGTTTTGCTAGTTATCCTACAGGAGCAACGGCATAGAAATTTTCTAGTTTTCAATGCCTCTCCCAGTTCGAGTATGCGAGCTGGATTTAATCCCGCTAAATTGGTGTGTGAACTCACTAGTCCTTTCAGGATTTCTGGTATCACATTGTTCATACCTAGATCTGGGCCAAGAATACTGTAAATTTGGCCGTAACGAATCGTTAAAATATGCGCTTGCTTTTTTTGTCAGGAAATTCTAATGATGAGTCTTCCACGTTATGCAAGCTCAGAAATTCGATGGCGTTTAGCTTAAGGACTAAACTTAAGGGCTTGTCAAACGGTTTCAAAAACTTCGTTTCCCCTTGTCAGTGAAAGTTGGCTTGTCTATTAAACTGTTACCAGACATATTTTGATGAAGTGTCTCTGCGCGCATGTTGTTTTGCAGTAGTCAATATCGAGTAAGCACCGTGGTTATTTCCTTCTTTAACTGCTGAATTGGCGCAACATGTTGATTTCGATTTTCGAGTGTAGTAGATCATCTTCGTTTGGAGATTTTACGGAATGGTATTGCTGTTGTTCCAAAGTTCTACAAATATTGTGCCATCTTCTCTCCCGCGCATGATTCTGGTTGCACTTACTGTAAGTAATCGTGTGTATATAAACTCCATTGACCTCTTCTGCTCAGAATCTTCTATGCTGCAAAGAATGAGAGCCCACAACTTCTTGTCCGTTTTATCTTTCACCAAGTTATCCGGTGAGCAATCGCACCCTTGTTAGTCCAGTTTCATTCAGCATCGCTGAACATTCACTGATAGTGTGCAAATCCATGATTGCAATCGAGGTTGAACTTGAGAAATCCGTTGCATGTACGTGTGTGTGTCTGCCTGCGTATGTTCACAGCCACTTTAGGTCTGCTGATTGTTCAGCATACACTCTGAATGAACTTTTGGTACTCTTATTCACAATAGATCTAATACATTCTCCATCCTAGTGATATGATTGTAGTGATGTATGCAAAAAAACCCTGAAATCCAGCTCTCACTTCTTCTGATGTACCATAGCATAATGAGCGACTGTTTCACCCCTAAAAAAGTAATATAAAAGAAGGCGGCGTCATCATCGGGTACTTCTGATTGTGATAATGTGACCGCAGCTTAGGTTTGCGTGCTTCAACTTTTCTAATTCCCCATCTGAATATTGTTCTCACAGAAAGCACCATCTGCGCCAACTCCGAAATCTGTCGCACCAGCAGCGAAGAAGGCAGCGGACTCATCGAGCAGTTCCGATTCTGAGGATGAAGTTCCACCCAAGGTTAACTGTGCTATGATGAATTCCAAATCTTCCCTCACAATCGCAGCGATTTTGCAGAAAACTCCTGTCAAACCAGTTCCCAAACCTTCGGTGACACAGAAAGCAGCGGAATCATCGAGTAGTTCTGATTCTGATGAGGCTCCTGCAGTAAAGGTTTGCCTATCTCTAGAATTATTTTTCCTCTTTCCTCATTATGATCTTGCAGAAAACACCAGCCAAGGCAGCACCGAAACCTGTCACTCCGGCGTCAAAAAAAGCAGCTACTTCTTCTAGCAGCTCCGACTCTGACGACGAACCTGTTACAAAGGTTCGCTTTACCCTGAACTTTTGGTTTTCGTCTCTTAGCAGTTTTTTTTTGCAGAAAACACCAGCCAAAGCAGCGCAGAAACCTGTCGCTCCAGTGTCGAAGAAAGCAGCGGCATCATCGAGTAGTTCTGACTCTGATGATGAGCCTGCAGCAAAGGTTCACTTCGCTTCAAACTCTGTTATTCACTCCTGAACAAATTTTTTATAGAAAACGTTAGCCAAACCTGGTGGAAAACCTGTCACACCAGCAACGAAAAAGGCAGAAACCTCATCTAGCAGTTCTGACTCTGATGATGAACCTGCAGCGAGGGTTAACTTAAATTTCAACTCGTCTCCTTCCACTTCCTGAAGAGGTTTTTGCAGAAAGCACCTGCTAAACTAGCGCCAAAAACCACTACCACTACGTCGGCGAAGAAGAGAGCAACCTCGTCGAGCAGTTCTGATTCTGATGATGAACCTACAACGAAGGTTCGCTTCGTTTTGAATTCATATACTTTCTCCTTCTCGAGAATTTTTTTGTAGAAAACACCTGCGCAGAAAACACCTGCTAAATCAACCCCGAAAACAACTACCACTACATCAGCAAAGAAAAACGCATCCTCGTCGAGCAGTTCCGACTCTGATGAGGAACCCGCTGCTAAGGTTTGCTTTATTTCCAACTCATCTTCTTTGTCCTCTTGAGAATGTTTCTGCAGAAAACACCTGCTAAACCAGCCCCAAAAACTGCAACTACGGCGTCAAAGAAAGCAGCAGAATCATCTAGCGCTTCAGACTCTGATGATGAGCCCGCTGCAAATGTAGCAAAGGTTTGCTCTGTTCTAAGCACCTTCATTTTCTACTTCTAAACATCTTTTTTCAGAAAACGCCAGCTAAGGTCACCCCAAAAGTCGCCACACCAGCAACGAAGAAAGCAGCGGCATCATCGAGTAGTTCAGACTCTGATGATGAACCTGCAACAAAGGTTATTGTTTTTGAACTCATCTTCTTTGCTCTTCTTGAGTATGTTTTTGCAGAAAACACCTGCCAAACCAGCCCCGAAAACTACAACGTCGGCGTCAAAGAAAGCAGCAGAATCATCGAGCAGCTCTGACTCTGAAGATGAGAGCATGCCTAAGGTTTTTTTGCTTAACCCTTGTCTTTTCCTCTCTTTTGTCGCCTATTATCATTGTGCTCATCCTACTGTCTTATCCTTTCCATATTTGGTTGCTCTGAGTTTATGGGAACGAATCTGTGGCTCACGCCTTGTTCCGTAGCGTAGTCCGATCCTGCTGTTTCCGTCCGGGTCCCCCTCTTGCCACCTACATCCTTTCCTAATCTAAACGCATTGGTCCACTGGTACAGGGGTTATGAATTTCTGGTCAAACCAACGACACGCACACATAAACATGCGGTTCATGTGTGTTAGGATTTCTACTTTCTCCTTAACAGCAATGTTTTTGCAGAAAACACCTGCTAAACCAGCCCCGAAGACTACAACTCCGGCGTCACAGAAAGCAGCAAAATCATCATCATCGAGCAGCTCTGACTCTGATGATGAGCCCGCAGCAAAGGTTCGTTCTGATCCATATTTTTAAACTTTCTCCCCTTGTAGAATTTGTTCCAGAAAACACCAGCTAAGCTAACCCCGAAAATAGCCACACCAACAACGAAGAAGGCCGAGGCATCATCTAGCAGTTCTGACTCTGATGACGAACCTGCAGCAAAGGTTTTTTTTTTTCAAACTCATCTACTTTGCCCTTCTTGAGTATGTTTCTGCAGAAAACACCCGCTAAGCCAGCACCGAAAGCTGCTGCACCGGCAACGAAGAAGGCAGCGGCATCATCTAGCAGTTCTGACTCTGATGACGAACCTGCAGCAAAGGTTTTTTTTTCAAACTCATCTACTTTGCCCTTCTTGAGTATGTTTCTGCAGAAAACACCCGCTAAGCCAGCACCGAAAACTGCAACTCCGGCGTCAAAAAAAGCAGCAGAATCATCGAGCAGCTCTGACTCTGAAGATGAGAGCATGCCTAAGGTTTTTTTTTTGCTTAGCACTTCTTGTCTTTTCCTCTCATCCCAGGATGGCGCTCTCACAGCCAATCCCAATTTATCAAGACCAATTATTTGTTGCTGGAATCACGCAATGCCATCTTTGAGCTCAAGCGCTTTTCATAGGATGCGCTATACTACAGGTCAACCTCGGCAACCACCCTACTTTTTATAAACGCTCGGGCTGTTGCTCAGCCACGAAGTCTGGTATAACCTATGGAAACGCTTGGAATACCGTATTAGGGTGTGCTGGATTTCAATAAATGTAAAGAGAGCGCATGTAGGCTCCGCTGAGCTTCTCTTTGATCATGCATCGGGGTGTACCGGACGCAGAAATTGCTCAATGACTTTCGCATCAGCTCCGGGACCACTAAAAATTTGGCATATCGAGCCAATGGAAGGTAAATGGAAAAGGTCAGGGGTATTATTCGAGATTCACGAAGAGATTCACGCCTATTTGCGTTCTTACTAATGAATGGTGCTTTTTACAAAGACTCGTTACTTGCGTGATGAGGTATGCTTAAACATTCATGAGGACGGTATACAAACTTCATTGGGTAAACAATTTAAGAAAAACTGGCCAAGCCTTTCCATAACCTCTATAAAGTTCGAGACCCATAGCGGACGTAATCTTAGGAAAGGTCATTTATCAGAGCTTCGGGGGATTCCTCTAGACCACTCTGCCTCCCTATAGTTCGTTTCCTCCATGATGGCGTGAAAATCTTGAATGGGCCATGGAAACGTATTCTTCTTGATGTTCATTATTATCTCACTCCATCATCCACTTTTTCTGCGATATGTCTTCTGTTTTCAAGTAAGTATCAAGTGCTTCATTTTTCTCTCCTACAGAAGATAGCAACGCCCGGTGACGAAAACGCAGGAGTGCCAAAAGTCGGACGAAAAACCTTCCCTGTAAGTTATATTTTAGCGGTATTAGTGTGCATGAAACATCTAGATGATTCACTCTTGATAAGTTTCATGTGATGTTCATACAGAGCATTTACAGAAGTTTTTGCTTGTTGACTCTCCGCTAGATTCGACGGTATCAGTGATTTCCATAGAACACACCACTTTTATTGCTTAACTTCTGCAAAATATAGGAAGGGTGGAAACCAATGGTGCGGAGATAGACATTTTGTTTTCAAAAGTGTGGGCAGACTTAGAATTTCGTCGTCAACTCCGAAGTGCTTTCAATGAGGGCGTACGCATTTCGGTGTGGCATACAACCGATGCAATATTTGAGAGTCCTTATAACGCCGTAACTACTCGGTTTTCCGATCTGACAACGCCACATATTGATTCTAGGAAGAAATCTCAGAAACCATTTTGATAGCGAACCGTACCTTTACGCAGACGCACCTTTGAGTGTTCGGAATAGATAATTTGAAAAAGAAACTAGCGATGTTGAAGGGCATAATGTTCGTAGGTGAGGCCGCTGTCATTCTTTAAATGTGTTTGTACAATACTTCGTTGCATAATAACATCAAAATTTGCGGTCAAGGGAAGTTTTGCTTGTCTATGAAGCGGCAAANCCCCCCCGATCAACCAATACATTGAACACGATTGCGTGAAGGTTTTTCTTCTTCCCTGCATTGAACTTATCTTCCAGTCTGGCCATTATATTTTGCCTCGATTGTAAAGGTTTTCTCAACTGACTACGAAAAATCCCCCTCTGCGCGTTTCAAGATCAAGCCGCTTTTTCAGGTATTTCTGTATTTGATGATGTTGGAATTTCCTGACGGTTTCCAATAAGGGATTATCTCATATCTTCTTTCCTCCGTCGCCTTTTACTTTATGTTGATTCTTAGGGCAGTTCGGGGTGAAATTTTTACACCTCCTTGTCTCATTCTGTACATTTTCCGTCAGTGATGTAGCAGAGGTCAGTCGATAAGCGCAGGTCAACACAAACCCGTGAATATTCAAGTGGAAATGCTGGTTGTAACCAGCAGCGCTGTGCTGATTGATTCCCTATTTTGTGAAAGCAACAGTTTTACGTTTTTTGCCAATTTTCCTTCAGTTCAGTTCATGTAAGAAGCCTTACTTTCCAAGTAATGATGTACTCAATGTTAAGAGGAAATCCAACGAGCCATTCCGCCGTGTAACAATAACAAAGGATTCTCTACCAGAAAAGTTCAAAGATAACTCTTACGACAGGGTATGTGCTTTGAATGGGATTTTTATGTTATACTAGGATTCAGTGCCTCTTTCTTGGTTTTCATGTAAAATCTGTACAACGATTTCAGTCGCACGACCAGTGGGGAGCTAAAGCACATGAGGCACTAAGTAAAGTGCAAGGCAAAGGATTCCGGCACGAGAAGACGAAAAAGAAGAAGGTGATGGACGTTCCATAAGGCTTGGCTTTTTTTTGAACAGAATCTTATTTTTCTACGCTAGACTGATCAGATTTTGAATTTATGCTTCACAGGGAAGTTACGGTGGAGGGCCCATCAGTACGTCTGTCAACTCTATAAAGTTCTCCGACAGTGATTGAAAATGTTAGCGACGTTGTTGCACTTGTTACTACTGTTTTTTACGTTTATTTATGTTGAGAGAATGTTATTTGTTTCCTTATGGATAGGTTCAGCGGAGTTGATATGTTTGTTGAACCCATCTATTTTGTTACATTCTGTTATCATATATATTTCATGTGGATTGTTTCATAGTAGGTGTATCAGTTGCAGAGTTCTGTTTCATGTCAATTTTGGACAGCTCGCCCAATAAACCTATTACCGTTGCCTGTCTTGATTACGGCCGAAATTGGTTTTACGATTAGTATTTTTACTTTTTTTTACTGCTTCCACAATAGGAATTGCAATAATGAAGATCACTCGTATTACTGTTTATTCAGAAATGGGAAAACGAAATGGAGAAGAAAGCATAGCTGATGCTTCTTTGAATGAAAGTGCTTTAGTGGATGCTCCATCAACTGCCAAAGAAGAGTACGAACACCTTTGTTCTTTGGTAGGTCCATATTAATTTCGCTTGTTCAGTTTACTTGTCACTGAATCGCTGGTACTTTTTAAGGCTTGTTGTTTGGTTTTTGTTTGTACTTTCTTGGGCTTGATCTTGCTTGGTAAGCGGCTTTTGTGATGTCTTAAGTTTAATAGGGAGAGAAAAACTAAACAAAAAAAACGTCGAGATTGGCTTCATGTGGACACCCTCGTCTTTCCTTATGTGCTTTCGTTCTATTGTGCAGATGTATGACATGATTTTAGGTGAATGCAATAGCGAAACCGTTAGCAAATAGGAAATTGGCGAAGAAATTGTATAAACTGGTGAGGAAGTCAGCTAAACACCAACATTATCTTCGGCAAGGTTTGAAAGATGTTCAGAAGGCGATACGGAAAAAAGAAAAGGGTATCATGATCCTCGCAGGTTAGGATTTGTCTTCCTTTCTTCAGAAATGTATCCAAGATTAGTATTTAAGGTAATGTGTCTCCAATAGATGTCTATTCGCATATTCCTGCATTATGTGAGGAACATGAGATACCATACGCTTTCACACCATCCCGTGAGCAGCTGGGTTTAGCAGCAGGTCACCGGCGACCAGCCATTGTACTTCTTGTTCGGCCAAACAGCAACTATCAAGAGTTGTATGATGAGGTAGGACTAAAACAGCATTTTTACAAAGTTTGCTTCAGTTCGTACTTCGTGAAGGGTCTATTTTCTTGATTTGTTTCAGGTCTATGAAGCTGTTAATGCACTCGTCGTTGAATGATTCTTATGAACTCGCTCCCTATTTGTTATACCTTGTTGTTTTTTGTTCGTATTAATGTTGAGAATGGTTGTTATTTTGAACTTGATGTAAAGTTATGTTTACCATTTGGCGCACCACACCTGTCGTTTACGTTGGTTGCTATTTGTTCTTTTCATAAGTTATATCATCTTAATGAAGGTCGTGGCTTGAGGTTTACATCGTCAAATGTACCTGTACTTGCATGTCCCGTAGAAGCCGAGGTTTCTATGAGCGATTTGGAAATGCCAGAAAGCAATTGAGAAAAAAAACGTCGGAAAGACCAATTCCACTACTTGACGTATGCTGTGCAGTAGGCAGAGAAATTCGAGCACCTAAAGTCCGCTCATTACAATGCTCGTAAACGATGGCGATTGAGGCTAGACAAAGCTTTCAAGGATAGCTAATTTGTTCAAAAGTAGTGCAATGATCACGTGGAATTTATTTAGGCCATGGTTACACGGGGAACGTCCATTCCGCGGGTTTGTCCATACTAGGTCACAACCCGGGAAGCGTCCGTTCCGCGCGTCCGTCGAAACTAGGTCAACCCACAGGAAGTGTCGTTCCACGCGTCTGCCGACATTAGATCACCCGTCCACTTCGCTCGCTCCGCAGCTCACTCCGATCTCGAGATGAGATTACATGATCCCTAAATGGCAGTGGAGCGAACGAATTTCACTTCCCCATATTATCCTCATTTTAAGCTGGCAAAGAGCTCATCAAAGTGACTTGTGCAGCAGGCGTCTGGCACCATTTCGCTTGCGCCGAAGTCGTTTTACCGAGTGCCTACCGACTACTGTACGAGTCACAGCACCGTGCACCGCACTGCTCGTGTGCTCCGTGAAAATGTTACCAGTAGGCTGTTGCCTAGTTGCTCCGTGGGCTGTTACTAAAAGCTCGCTTCGTTTTTGCTGTTATCCTACTATATATAACGCGCTAAGTGTGTCTGTTGGTTTGTCTGTCTGTCTGTGTGTGTATGTGTGTGTTTGACCGGAAATTCATAACTCGGGTTCCCGTCGACCTAAAGCGCTCAAACTTGGTAGGATTACAGATGGTAGCATGGGAACACTAATGGTGGGTGACGGACCTAGACTCCGACCACAGGGGGCGGGGTTTGTGCAAAATAAATGTTTGAGCGGGAAGTCATATCTTCTGTCCCCGTGGACCTAAAACGCTCAAACTTGGTAGGATTACAGGAGGTAGCATGGGAACACTAATGGTGGGGGACGGACCCAGACTCCGCCCACAGGGGGCGGGGTTTGTGCGGAAAATCATAACTGCAGTCCCCGTGGACCTAGAGCGTCCAAATTCGGTAGAAGTACCCAAGATAGGATGGGAACGCTTATAGTGGGTGACGGGNAGCGGGGTCAGCTTACTAATTGCGGGGATTGGGTCGTCAAGCACCGGGTGTGTTGAGTGCAGCCTTTGCTGGTGATAAAGCTTACATTCAAGAAATTAATTGCAAAGGCCTAAGAGCGAATGACTTGCACTAGTCCATGATCTACTGTTATTGTTATATTATTCTACTTTAAACTGATTGCCGTAGACCGAGCGCAATTCCTATGCCCAGCTGACGAGTGCGACGTGGGCAAAGATCGCGGGCTGACACGCCTCATGCGACGACTGCAGCGTTACCAGTTTCGACGGACGCGCGGAACGAAGCACACTAGGGTAACATAGGCGTGTGGTGATTCGTGCGATTTTGGCGTGCGGCAAGTTCAGTCACTTGTCAGCTCATAACTTCCTACCAACTACAATCAGTGTCCGATCCTGCCGTCTGGGTGACTTTTGAATTTTCACGCTGCAGTTTAAGGGAACATTTTTGCGCACGCCCCCGCCGGATGTGCAGGTCACGGATAGACATGACGCACTCCTTCGATGACATCCATATATTTTCGGGCTCTAAAACGTCTTCCAACGGAGTTGTGAGTTACTGACCTCAGCTCCGCCGTCCCCACTGCAAGTCTCACCTACTACAACGATTTGACCACTTTTCCCTCAGAAGAGCCTCTAGCCACTTCTTTTCGCATTTGGGGACGCTTTTAAATAGTGTTATAAGTGTTCATACCCTGCCCACTTCAGTGTAGGTAGCGCCCATAATCCAGCCACTATTTTTCCGGATCTAAGAACGTTTTTGAACAAAGCATCTGAAGGCTAGAAAACATTGCTCTCTTCATACAAGCGCACGCTCAACCCACCTCAGGTGGGCGTGCACTTGAATGAAATGTACCGAGCAATGTTTTCTGACCTGTAGACCTTTTGTTGTTGAGACTCGGTCAATAACTGATGTAGAAACTACCATCCGCTTTGAGAAGGCTCAGCCCATCGTCCTCCTCGCCCTTTTTTTGGTGTATTGGCTTTTATGCATACAGTAAGTCATATATTATGTATCGCGCTCTGTCTTTTCAAGCTCGATATTACCTGAAGAAGCACCTGGAGAGGCCAATCGGATTCCGGGATAACGGAGACGTAAGGCGAAATGAATGGAGCACATGCGAGTTTAGGCAATTGTCGAATTAGGTGCTGAAGACCCTTCCGTGACAAGTGAGTGTTATGGATCGCAGAGCTCGGGACATGGAGGGCATTTAGTACAAAAACTGACATCTCTGATTAAGAACGTTGATCTTCTGAGGGCGTGTCAAGTGATGAAACTTCATACAAAATCCATTTTTCCCAAACCCATTTCACACCACCTTTATGTTTAATCGACATTTATAAAGGGTGAAGTTTGAAGCCTACTGGCTTAACCAATCTCATCTGAATGATGCGCCTCGCATTCGACTTCCATTCAGAATCGTAGTAGCGTATTGAACGAGTATGTGGCCCATACAATGACCTGCGATGGCATGCTGATGTACAATTCAGTGTTTTCATCTTCCAGGACGAGTCTGATAGCGATATACTGACTCCGAGTTGGGAGGCTTGGTTGTAGAGCCAGAACCGAAACCCGAGCATGCGTGTGTGATAGTACGTTACCTGCCACTGCTTCACCTCCGCCCATCAATGGTCATAAGGGCGGTGAGCACCTGAATTTGTTTAACCGAACATTATTCGATAGAAATTAATTTTCATGAGGACGCTATGATTGTTTTATGATTTGATATGAGGAGGCCAATCATAGTGCAACAGCAAGTGTTTACTGATATTGGAATTTCGTTCTAACTCTTGTACCATGACTTCAGAGATATATAGCGTCAGAGATATTATGTGAATGTTCACCATGTATGAAGTGAGAAGTTTGTGAATAACACGTAGCCTTCACACATTTTCTGGTTGTTTCATCAATGTTGGGTATTTTACATCTCTCGTGTGTTTAAATGTTGAAAATAAAGGAGAGTCATTTAATTTTTTGTTTGTGCTCCGGTTGGCATTTTTGCTATGGCTTTACACGAATCTTTTCGTGTAATAAATTAAATAATCAAATTCACGAGCAGGAATATTCTGTCTTGATTACGTGGGATGAGCGCAAACTATAGCTCGCTGTGGCGCTTACTTGAATAAACATAAGAAGATAATAAGAGACGCATTGGAAAAATACGAGAAAAGTAAAATACCGTATGCCACGAGGGCGCTAGCTGTCATACAGGCAGCTGTCTTCTTCAGTTGGAACTGTCTCTAAGCAAATTTCCAGGGCTCATAGCTTTTTTGGGAAACTCATTTGGCAGTTTTGACTACTGAACTCTGAACAGCATATTAATTCCTATCGATATGCCTAGGTCTGTCATTCATTCCATGTTGATTTGGGACCTTCCTCTGGTTTATTTCTAATCCCCACAAATTGATACTTCCCTCAACTACATAGCGCCTTTGACAGAAAATTGAACAGGAAACAATTACATATTTCTGAGTTATTCAACGATTTTTGAAGGTCGACATCCGTACAATTATGAGTATAATGAAGAAGAGTGTCCAACATTATATCTATTCCTGGGTACTCAAAAACAATTATGAGTATAATGAAGAAGAGTGTCCAACATTATATCTATTCCTGGGTACTCAAAACTTCGGGCAGAAGTTCATTTTCAAGTTACTCATGAGCATTTCTTCCTGACCAATTTTCTTGCGTGGCTGCGCGCTTCCTCACTGAATAAGGCCAGATGGTAAGACAGTCACCTGATCAATCAGTATTGTTTACAGCACCACCAACTGGTCTAGAAAGGATAAAAAACAGTTCAGCTTCCGATCGTTTCGGTTACCCCCTTATCATGCCGCCTCCCTCGGTTTCAACTCACCATCTATATGGTTATTTGGGAGTTTTGTCTAAAGTGAAACCACTCCAGTAAAACCTTTGATACCTAGCGGAACATTCAACGTGGGACCCCCATCAAACAAAATTGACGAAATCTCCAGCCTGTTGAATTCACTATTGCGAGGCAGAGGTCGCGGCTGGAATACCTGCTCATGTCGCACTTCACCACAGTAACCGTCACCATACATCTTACCTTTTGAAACTTGCACAATGCTTTCTTATTTTGTACTTTTTATGCGAAAAGCTCTCTATTCTACAGGTGCTCATTCCATTTCGTTGCATATGATTTCGCACGGGTGGTTCTGCGCTCTGTTTGATCTATTTATTTCAACAGCCAGCCAAACCACTATTGCCTTAGTATTTACTGCTTATTACAGACTGATCTCCATTGTGAAAGATTTTCAGCGCAATCCAAATCGCACTAGGCCCTCAAACATATTGGGTAACTTTTTACGGTTACTTTTTACCCTAACAACTGAAAGATCTAGGAAAGGGTCACGCGAGTTCTTTACTTTTTTTTGAGGTTTCAGGATTGCAGTAGAATCGTGGTTTAACCTTTAGTTTGAAGTTGACTCTTTAAGCTGTACAACCGAAATATTAACAAACTTTGTTAGGCTGACGTTTCGGTGCCTTCATCTGTGCCTTTTGTCTTTCCAGGCTCCGAGGAAGGTGAAGGCACCGAAACGTCAGCCTAATAAAGTTTGTTAATATCTCGCTTGTACAGCTTAAAGAGTCAACTTCAAACTAAAGGAAGAATGCCGAGATTCATCGACAGTCGCACATGGACACTACTTCGTGGTTTAACCCTTTGACGACAATGCTTATTTCGACGTGACACGCCCATGGGACCATCCCCTCTTTTCCCGCGCGTGACTGGCACCACTGGTGGATGTCACTGTCTCAGGAGAAAATTCTTTCACTGGCTCACTGAATTTAGCAATTGGTAGAATCAAGAAAGTATGGTGGCACTCAAAATTGGGTGCCAATGTCCCATGCGCTAGTCATAGTGGCACCAACCGGTGGGTGCCATTGTCGTCAAAGGGTTCAGGGAGTAGAAGTTGAATAGTGGACGAGGGTTTTACACAGCGTTCGACATTTCACATTTTCAGTCTTCCACTGCAGTTTTAGGTCCATTCAAGTCGAGAGCAGCCTGTTTTTATTTTGTCTATGGTAGTTGCAGTTGACATTTTCATCAAGACCTATCTTTCATCATATCCATGCCCAAAACTTTGAAGATGTCATGTTACCTTGGCAAAAACCTGGTTTAAAAATGTTCCCACCCTACCTTGGGTCTGTACCGGAACTGCGCGACCTACAGGTGTTACCTTCTGTTTTTGTTCATGACTACCCACTGCAATAGATGGCAAATGGTAAATACGCCCCACCCGGAAAGGCGTTTTTCAACGTGTCGTGTCTTTGACGCGTAGTTGGAGACGCCGTATATGCCCCGGGCTGGAGCAGCTGTTAGATATGGTATTGGTACGGCATTGCAAACTGATATCGTGGATAGAAATAAATGCAACCCATTTACTCAGTACAGACACTAGCTTGAATATAGGTTGATGCATAATTATTGCGGATTTTTGCAACAAATTCTGCTTTCTGAAGTGGTAGAAATGCTGAACAAAATCATGTTCAAATAATTACTTCGGAACTTATCCAC